AAAATCGAAGCACTTTTACTGCCCCAAAACGTGATGATAGACACAAAAAAACACACACATATCATGGTAAAATCAATATATTTCTCGCTCGACTCAGAATCTAATATGCATTGGCATTCAACTTTTGATACACGTGATACAATAAACATAATAAGTAATGCGAATAATGATATTAATTATATTATAATCGAATCTTGGTTTAATCAAAAACTATTAAAATATATAATATTGTTCAAGATATTATGAAACATTGAACATATATTAGTAAAAATATAACTATAGAATAAAATAAAATATTTTTGCGAAGTAAAATATAAATACCTATAKCCTATATGAATAGAAACATTAACTAAAAATTAATTAATATATTTTTGATATAATTACATACAGTTTATGATACTCTATATTTATATTATATTTATATTTATTTATTTTACCACTATTTTTAAAATGTTTTGTTACTATTAAATTATCCATTGCTTATGATAATGTATAAGAACTAAGAAACAATCATATTTAATAACTTTTCAGACACGTCCAATATGGAAAATGAAATGGTAATAAATGAGGATAATCAGAAAAAAGAACTATGTCCAAATTACTTACTAGATGATCAAGAACACATTAACAAAGTAATACATTTGTATTAATTTACTTTTAACAGATATATTTGTGTATTAATATTTTTGATTTTTGATTTTAGACAACTAAAGTCTCATGGGTTTTAGTCATAACAACCATAAGTATTAGTTTAGGGTGTTCAATTCCTGCCGGGTACAACACTGGAGTAGTAAATGCCCCGGCAGAAGTTAGTGTTCTAGTTCAATTTAATTTAAGCTGAAATTGTAACGCTTTTATTTAACTTCTTATATTTAATATAAATAAATGATGAGTTAAGACGAAAATTAACAGACTATGACAAAAAAAAAATTGAAACTTATAGATATTGAAACAATGGTGTAATGAAACGATCGTTCATCGCTATGCAGTACAACTTTCACCTGCTCAACTTGATGTCCTTTGGTCTATACTAGTTTCCATATTCTTGGTTGGTGGCATTATCGGTGGTGTAGCTGGTGGTAAATTAGCAAATGTATTGGGCAGGTAAGTTATTTTATAGCTGTAGTTATTTTAAATGCCGTACTTTTATGTAGTGCAATATTACTCGGCCATTTAATTTTGATCCAACTGTGGAGGTACGGATTTTCCAACTATAGGTGAGAGCATTATGCTTGCACCATAACACCCTACCATGTTAACTATATAATCTTCATGATTACTCTCTAACTTCCACAGAACGCCGTCATTGTCAACGTCTATATGTGTTATTGTACGACAATCTACACTTTTCTTTACCTAAAATTAATATTACCTTTGATACTGACAGTAAGTTGATATTGGTATTGCACTAGACTATGTATTAATTATCAGGTATTATATTATTATTATGTTAAGTGATATAGCTGGTATGAATTTACCACTTTCATGTTTTCTTCTAAAAAACTTTCTTTTGTGTCCCAGCTGTATAAATGGTTAATTCCTTTTATTCGAAAATACATTACTGATCCATATGCTGCTCCTAAAACTACCATTTTGCAAGGTTTCCGTCCTACGTCAATTATACATTTCGGATTGATCCGTTTTTGTAAGTCTTTGGTGCGCACCTTAAACATATTCGTGCTTGACAAATATGTGAAATATAGGTAATTAGAACTAAAATTTTCAATCAAGACTAGGTAAAACACATCTTCGGTAGAAAAATCTATACAAGTTGAAGTCGCAGAATATGGCAATTTTACTCTGTAGCCTTCGTTAACTTGAACGTTCCACACAATAATTGAACGAGTACCTCCGTCTCCGATATAAATTATTGGTTTATTACTGCTTACATTATCATATTCAACAACTAAGTATTGTAGTCGACTGCGTGTGCGACAAATTAACGGTCTAAGTGGTATGCTATGTACTATCTGAAATATTTGAAAGAATATATATATTATTTTTTAAATTTTGTACCTACTGAATTAACAATTAAACTAAAAACTTTGCTTGTAATATTACATATAATACAGTTTTTTGGCATTCTAATAAGTMAATATTTATCATTCGAATAAGAGTATAGTGCATACATGTTGATACAATAGGCTTACGTTTATTTTCTTGCTATTACGGTATAGGCATAACATTACAAAACCTATATTTGCTTTCGACAAAAAATATTTCAATAGTAAAAACGAGATCAAATCGCATTGTATTAATCATGTTAACGCTGATGTCATATTATTATGTTTACATAAACAAAACAAATAAATCTGAACGTAAGAATTGAAAATAATATTTTTCTATGAGTAAGGTTTTTAATAAATTATAATTTATATATACGCACTGCATTTCTATGATATGTAAATACTAATTGACTGGAGTATAGAATATAACCATAAAACAGATGTATACCTTAACTTTTATATCTATGACTCGGTGGTTATAAATATTATTATGTGATATTTTACTATTTTATAACCTACACGTCCATCTCCATAGTCAATCCCCAATATTTTTGCATCGGATTCTGTCTTAGTGACTTCGTCTAAGGTATTTATAATTCCTATATCCAATACCCAAACTATACCATTTTGACCCATGTATATGTCTATGGCATTTATAATGGATTTATTGTCGTCACCAACATTTTTCTCTAAGTTAGGGAACGGTCGCACATAGTTGTAGCATTCGTCTTTATCGTAGAGCATTAATTGACTCAATGTGAATGGCACACCTTCCCTAAATCATTAGATTTTATAATTTATCTAAATATTAACGTTTACATAGTGTTTATACATAATTTTTTAGCTTATTTTAAAAGACATATGAACTATAAGTTTTACTTGTAACGTGGTGAAACCAAAATCACTTGGTTTCCACAAATTTGAAACCTAGTAAAAATGATATTTTTTGGTATACAGCGTTTGTCATGTAAATAATCGGCTTCCGTCTTTTTATTTGGCCATTCAATATAATGTCCATTTAACATGTGTGGCTTGAAAATATTTGAAACATTACGTACTATATTTTGAGAAATAACGTAGATATTGGCATAACACATAATGAATAAACCAAAATAAAGTCTCATAATATTATCATTAATTCCAATGTAAAATACGTGTTAATAGAACACATCATATTTTATGTACTTTGAATGATTGATTGAAAATATCAGACTTACCCACTTCATATAATGTTGCTTTGGTTACAAAACAGATAATCTTAATCTAATAAAATTAACTATGGGTACTATAGCTATAATAGGCATAAATGTGTTTTATTTTCGCCAGTGATGTTACAATATAAAATACAGTTTATTTTAATCTAAAAAATCTAAAATAACATATGTCATATACAAATGGTAATATATGGTAATAAATTATGGTGCACATAATATTGGTATTCTTTCTGATATAAAAATAGTTAATATTTAATAAAAATTCCAGTTTACTTAATATAATTTGTTTTTTTTTTTTCTAGGAAAGGAACTTTACAATTTATATACCTGATTAATTTAGTATCTGGTATTCTATTTTTTAGTTCTAAATCATTAGCTCTTGTAGAATTATTTTTTATTGCAAGACTTTTGTCTGGTCTATCCGCTGGTAAGTCTTATCATTAGTTATTTTGAATTATATTTAACATATTATATCAATATATGCCTATAATATTTAAGCTACATCCATATTGTTAACTATTTGTTCTAGGCCTCRCAATGGCAATGGTTCCGATGTATTTACTAGAGTTATCACCTGCCAATAAAAGTGGTTTATTTGGTGTGATGTTTACAGTAGGTTTGAACTTTGGTGTGGTGTTGTCTCAGTTTTTAGGCCTTGGAAATATCTTAGGTTGGTCAATACTATATAGTTATTGATAAGAATGAATTCAATATAATATTATTTAACATTTTTCAAAATGTATTTATAGACTATAATCAATCAATTTTAATAATTACTATACTTTTCAATATTTTTTAGGAAATGATTCATCGTGGCATTACTTATTTAGCCTGTTTGGAGGTTTGGTATTTTTAGCCCTTCCTACTTTAAAATGTATTCCCGAGAGTCCTAAATATTTGTATACTGTTCGCAATGAACACAGCAAAGCATTATCAGGTATTACCTATTATTTGAACGTTAATAATAAATAACTTAACTTATACGACTATGTAATTATTAAATTTTAAAATACAAAATAGTTATTAAGAAATGTGATTTCATAACTTATTCATATTTTTCAGAACTAAGCAATTTAAGAGGAATGCCAATATCTGATATTAGTTGGGAATTAGAAAATTTACTTGTTTCTCCTGAAAGGTGGACGCTGAAAAGGGTTATCAATGAACCATCTAGCCGCAAAGCTATCATAATCACCTGCATAATAATGTTGGGTCAACAACTGTCTGGAATTAACGCAGTAATAATAATATGATAATACATAAACATTTTTGTGACTAAGAGAGAAAGAACGTTATTGGTAGTGACCTACGATTTTTTTTACCCTATCTTGGCTAATGCCTATGCTTTCCTTATTTAAAAGTCAAGTTGTACCAATTATTATTTAACGTTTTAATATTTCTACATTTCATAACTATATTTAAATAATTTTAGGTGTTTTACTATTCTACGTCGATGTTCAGAAACGCAGGCATGAGCACAGCTGGTGCTCAATATGGAAATCTAGGTGCAGGAGTAATAAACTTTACTGTAACTATTTTATCAACTATATTTATTGACAATTTTGGACGCAAAACATTGCTATTATTTAGCAGCATTATTTGTGTATTCATGCTTACGGCTTTAATGATTTCAATGATTTTATCATCCATTGTAAGAGTTGGCTTACTGATTATTCAATATACTCGTAATTTATTCTAATCGTTTAAAATAAATTTTTTCAGGGTACAATACCAGGAATTTCTTATTTGTTGATTGTATTTGTTATTGGTTACGTGTTATTTTATGGATTTGGATTAGGACCAATCCCGTTCTTTATTGGATCAGGTGAATTCAAATGTTTATTTTTTATTGTCAATATTACAAATTATAACCCGATCACTTTTTTTTTAGAATTAACTGATGTTGGACCCAGACCTATTATAATGTCAGCAATGAGTGTTGCTAATTGGTCTGGAAATTTTTTGGTTGGACTTACATTTCCTTTTATCACCCTTGTTCTCAAACAATACTCTTTTCTTCCATTCATCGTGTTCACCGTACTTTTAATCATATTTACATGGTAAGTGTCTAAAATAATGTAGGTACCTATTATATTGAATATAAATAAAAAAATTAAACATGCATTTATAAATATTATAGTGTATTTTTTAATAATAATATTATTGTTTATATTTTGCATAATCTGTATAGGAAAGTGGTTCCAGAAACCAAACAATCTTTCAACCATCAGAGTGCCGATACTGAATAAGACCCAAGATTTTATWTGTTTCACTTTGATATTTGATGAAAATTTATTATTGCCTGTGATTTTATTATATATTATATATGCAAATACAAAAAACGTAATTTTTTGTTTGTTTATTCTGATTATTTATAAAAATATTGAGAATTTTTTACTTTTGATCCCCTAAAGTACCAACTAGAAAAAAAACACACACATCATGGTAAAATTTAAAACAAATTCTTTTTAATAATATAAAGGTAATAACTTAATCAGTTTACTTTGTCTACCTTATCCACTTTTAGTATTTTGTTTTGAATATATGATCAATACACGATATTTAAAACGTATTGTATAATTGATTCGTTATTATTTTTAAAAGTTAGAATATAAATTGAATAAATTGTAAGACATGTTTTTTTTTGTAATCATCATAAACTTTTGGTGGTAGGTACTGTAAAAATGTTTTAATCTTTAATTTTTAAGACGGTTTATGTTAGAAAATTGGATTTATCTGGTTTTGTGAGGTCAAAATAATATCCAGTACCTACTTTACAAATATGTAAACCTTTTTGTGGGGAATCTTACATTGAAATTATTAATTAATGGTTTATATAGGGAAAGTTTAGAGAATATTTTTACGAGTTTTTAACAAAACAAAATGTTTAAATGTTCGAGATTTTGATGAATTTTGTTAATGAACTTTTTCACTATCCCAAACTTTGACGACAGACAGAAAAAACATCTATATATAAAATCAATAATACATTCATTCGCTACACCTTAGGTACTATACACTAACAGGATATAAAATGAACACATTTCCGTAACATATACTATCATTTGTAATATCATAAACTAGCGAATAGTCATATCTCTCAATCATTGAAATTTGGTCTAATTTTAAAAATAAAACTTATTTACCGGTGGCCAATAGATCGCTGTGAGTATTTTTTAAATAATATTAAAAATTTCTGATTTTATGATTTAAATCTCCAAAGTTTTAATTATTTTATTATATTAATTACAATATATAAATATGTAATATATAACCTATTTTAATATAAATACTTTTTGTATAAGACACTGTTTATCAATAGTTTAGTGTAGGTATAATAAATAATAATATAAGTACTTAAAATAGTCTTTTAACACTTTAAATTATTTTTATATTATTTAATAGCGATTATTTTAGTACGGTCGACTATCGTTAATTATTTAAAATAATTATAAGTATYAATCGATAAATATTACAAAAATCAGGTATCACATCATGAATAATTTTTATATACGTATTTAGGATAGGCATGATATAATCATGAGCGAAGTTTTTATCCTTTTTGTTTTTTGGGGTAACTATCTTATATTATTATATTAAAATATTTTATTTATATATTTAAGTTGTTTCAATGAAAATATCCTTATTTTATTATTATTCTAGAATATTGAAATTCTTAGATAARAACAATGCCAAATATTAAATGGGGTATGAAACATGGCTATAATTGTTATGAACAGATTAGGAACACCGTCAAGTTGAGTCAGAGGAACAATAATTATATTATTCATGTACCTACAAGCATGTATATACATAATATACACATATTATACATTGTATATTTTAGTATGCCCCATGTTTATAGATAATCGATCGGACACCCAGCAGTGGCCACCATAATTATAATTATAGTCATATAGGTCGACTTACTTGACGGTACCCTTGCATGTAATAAAAACTAAATGTACCCTTGAAAATATTGTTAAACCTACTACATATATATGCAGACATGATACATGATAATATATATTTTAGATTAAAAAATTTGGATATAAAATATATTATACACGGAATTAATAATTTAAAAAAAAAAAACCTTAACGTCCTGTTTAATGTAGGCACAATGTAATACAAGACATAGGTACCCATATATTATGATCTATCAAAATAAAATTTAAAAATGTCATTTACGAAATGTAAGCATAATACATCGTGATTAGATACGTGACGTACAGTAGAGACGTTGTCAGCCTGTATGCGACTAAATGTATTTTAAAATTACATACATTGTTATACTTAATATTCAATAAATTATTTTTATACTACATTAATACGACTTAAACCAGAAATTATTTAATATTAATCTAAATATCTTAAAAATGTTATTTCGCATAATTAAATATAATATTATCCAAACAAATTTCAAGTCTCCACAAATATATTTGAATTCCAACAAAACAACTAAAACCGTTATTCTTATTCTATAATATCAAATTTAATCAAAATTTGAACATCAAATATCTATAAAAAAAAAAATAGTATAATTTTTAGATTTCAGCAAGAATCACATATAGGTAAATAACCTGAAATTGAGTATCCAAACCATATAGTTATTTAAATTAAACATTTTGTAAATTTTTAATTAAATAGGTACTTACAAAGTTTTGTATTATTGACGAAACTTGTCAACATTTAAATTTTAAAAAATTATTAATAAAATCAGTATTTTTATTTTAAATATTTTTATATTAAGAATAACTTATATGGAATCGTGTATATCTGCAGTTGTATTTTTCAAGATTTTCAACCAGGCATAAAATTGTTTTTTAACCAAAAAAAAAACTAAAAAAATTCGAAAAGTTAAAGGCCTAAATAGCTTAAAATTATAGTCAACATATTTTGAAAATATTATTAAGGATATAAATTTGTAATTTAAATTAAAAATACGTAATTTGAATTTTTTGAGTTTTAGTTTAAGATCAATACTATTTTAAGTGTATTAAAAAGACTATAAGTCTATAACTATGTATTCACTATTTTGGGACTTTTCTGGTGTGAATTCTTAAAATTCTAGTCAAAAGAATTTGATTATTAGTACTTACAGTATAATAGTGATGATAATAATTGATAAAATAAAATAATTAGTACCTACCTATTACTTTTCAACTTATCGCGACTACTAGTTACCATATACTATAGGTAGGTACATCATAATATATAGATCCGACGACGTCGCAATTTAAATCGAAAATATTATTTTCGAATTACTATGATGTTATTCCTTTTGGATAGGTCAGAAAACCTAACTTATCTTATTTCGATAACTATTCAAGGTGATTTTACATACCGATACCACGTGTCCACGTCTAGGTAGTGGAGTAGCTGTAAGGGGCAATGGTAAAATTTCCCCCATGGAATTTTTTTATTTATGATGTTTTTTTCATGGTTATAGTATATATTATAAGTAATAAAATAATATGGTAGGTTAATTTAGCTTAAGCCCCTTAATTTAGCTCCAGCTACCAGCAGTACCAGCTGACCACGCCAGGTCTGTTTGGTGGTAGGTAATCGCAGATCGCAATAACCGAAAAGTATCAAATTATTTTTAATATTTTACACGAGTGGACTGGATTACTAAAATTAAACTATAGGGAGTAGAGAATACTATAGTAACTACCAGCAGTTACCAGTTAGCATTTAGCGGCCACGTCTTCACGCGCCTCTCTATAGTAATATTGCGCCAATACATTGTGCCATGTCAGAATATTATATGTACTTATAGTTATTATAACCTATATCATCCATGATTATTTAAGTAATATTATGTCTAAACGGTCGTTAGACACTAATCATGGATAGTCGCTCGTTTCCTTTACTGAATTACTAAAATACTAAAATAATGTAAGTGGTTAACCTTAAAAACAAATAGTGGAAATCACACTATCTAACGGCTATCCTGACCTTGCGTTAGTATAAAAGACCAAGGTCATATATCAGGTATCCGACCTGCTATAACCTAACCTATTAAGATATTATTTTGTGCTGCAGTAGTGACATCCCAGACAACTTAGTTAGCTTGGTACAGCTATTATAATTAAATATCTAATTTATACCTGCAAATATGCTAGGTATTTAATGCTACAGGTAAATACAAAAACAATATGTATTCACTTGTTATAACATAGACGCATAGACAACAAAAATATATAGTAGTGTAGTTCCTCAACGCTTTTGATAGTTCAATACAAAATCAGTATTTACAGCGCATAAATCCCATAAATAAAACAATATTGTTGACATGCTATTGAGATTATGCAGTGCTATTATAAGCTCTCCAGAATGATCTGAAATCTCTCTCGAGTCTCAAAAACGTACATTTTCAGTATCACTTTTATAAAATATAAACATAAAATTGCAATTATTTATGCAGCTCTATTTATGACATTTATTTATTATATATAAATCATAAATTCTATATTAAATCTATGACTTATGACCAGTACTGCAGTAATACTTATAGGTACCTATCATTCACTATAATGGCATTCGATTATATTAGTTATTATTCCAATTTGCTATATCCAGCACTCTCGAAACCTAATCTACTTTTTTAAATCTATGAAAAATTTCATCATAGTTTATCTATATTCATTATTCATACATTTTTTGAAATTTAGTGCTCAATGATCGACGGTTGCAGTATATTGTTGATTTATTCTTTCTGAAATCAAATGAGTAATAATAGTAATAACTACAAAGTAGTAACCTATGTATTATTTTTACTTTTCAATAATTATTAAGGATGATAAAAATTAACTTTAAATTATTTCAATATTAGCCATTAGGTATACCCATAACCCTTATATTGATATTTATATTTTATTTGCATAAGTGTAATCTCATTACATATAATATATACTCATAAGACTATAAGAGTATAAGACTATAAGAGTATAATCTCATTAGTTATTGTATGCTATATTTATTATATATAGATGACACATTACATTTTGTATAATATATATTAATATACTATATACCTATTCTGTATAGGAATATAGTATGTAGGTACTTATTATAAACGTAATATTACGTGGGTATGCACATCAGGTATTCACTATTCAGGTATGAGGTATAGCATTATATTTTATTATATACATTAATAATAAGTAATAACACTAATAACATATTATACGATTTTTCCTAACTTTTTAATGTTCCGCTATTGCGTCATTCTATACGGTGGGAGAGCATTAAAATACACCTAATATATTATTTCATAATACACTGACGAGAAATTTTTTAAACACAAGTGTTCATTCCGACGTTGATATATGAATCAGCATCAACGTCAGTTGGGACGCAACAACATCATAATAATATGATATGTAATTGATATTAAAAATTAACATTAATAATATTATTAAATTGGTAAATTGCAACGTTACACGAATGAATAAAAACAGAAAATCACAAACTTCGGAAATCGGAAGGATGTATAGGTAACTTCCAAAATAATGATTCCTGCAATTTCTTTTATAATTTTTATTTTTAACAGTGAGCATCCTTCCTCCCTACCACCAAAAAGTGGTGAATTTTCATAACTGCCACGGGGTACATAATTTAGAAATACATCCATCCCTAATTAGATAGTTTTACCATTTGTGCAAATACAAACAATTCTCTATCAGCTTCAGATAATTTATAAGTATTTGAAGTTTATGTAAGTTACTATACAAAACTTAAATTTATATATCGTAGATTAGATCACAAAAATCATTAATTAATTTAATAAAAAGGCTAATTCTAATAATACTAACTTTAATAGTACAAAATATTATGGATAATCTAAAAAACAGTTAATGGACTACAATTAAAAAATATATATTTTAATAAAGGAAAGTGCTTAGTGCCCCATTGGGAGGTTTGGAGCATTAAATATTTAGTGATTCACTCATGAGCTCATTACATATTTTGTACATTATTTTCACAATTTTTAACAAAATTAGTCACCGATTTAATACTAATTAACTAATCAATATGAAATATTAATAATATTAGTGAACGATGAAACATGAATTTAGGTTTATAAATTATTAATTCAACATTGACAAGCACGGTTACTATTTTTAATTATGCTGATAAATGACAACACAATATGTAACATTTTACATTGTTCAATAATTTACTAAATATTACTATAAATTAACAATTTTATATACGATACAATGCACCTATTATTTTAATTTATTTATATTTCATCACCACAACAAGTCACAACTACTGATGTGTACATTACACACACGCTGCACATGGCAACATCAGAGTATTCAGTATTCAGACTTCAGAGTATCAAAACCAGACGTTTCTTATCACTTATCGGAATTATCAGTCATTTTTATATTCAAAATTCAATGTTAATAATTTATTAATATTGCTATTGTTCAATATTGTTGTTATGGTTAAGTACTAAAGTGTAAGGTCTACTATGAATTAGGAAATTATAAATTGTTATCTTAACTTTATAGTTTATTACGAGCTTTATTATGATTGTWGAATGTTTGTTTTATTTTTCTTTCAACACCGAACTCAATAAGGAATAATGTATTAATAATAATTGAAAAATGAGTATTTAGTATTGATAAATTATAATTCAGATTTCCAGATTACGTCCGCGAAACATCTGCAATAACGTTTTTTTTCCTTTTCTTATTTTTTAAAAGCGTTGTTACAATCTTTGTTATAAGTTATAACACACCGTCAGTGTTCCCCACCCCGAGGAACCTTTTTTTATGCACATGAATCAGTTTATTATCGACAGAGACGGTAGTTTCCGGTTCACCTTGTGATTATTGTTGGAATAATAAAATTGCGGTTTCGTATACATAATACATATTACCTATTGGCTAATGGCTATTATATTAAACATATTTTTTCGCCATAGCTTTCCATTCGGCAACCACTACCGTCGTGTCAATTCACTCTGTGGTTCTACACCAATTCTCGTAAATTGTAGAATATCCATTGACCGTGTTGGCCCTTTACTCCTCACTCCTCCCTCCACCGTTAGTCGTTGCAGTCGCGGACAACGCTGAACAGTGATTACTGATTAGTGAAATAGTGAACGCTCGTCACTCGGCAGTTAGTTGTACTTAAACAAACTTCTCGTCATAGTTGCYGTTGCTCGTTTCGTTCACGTCCGCTTTCGCATTTCGTCATCGCCACATCGTTTCTTTTTTTTCTCAATCCGACTTCTCATTGTATTATGCAAGTGTATCACAGTCACCGTCACCAGTTTTTCGAATAAACATAATATCTTACTATTTTGGTTGTTGATCRCCACTGCACAAACATGAACAAATTCGTTTTGCCGCTGATTTTTATCTGTCTGGGTGAGTGCTCGGAATTCGCTTCTCTTTGTGCCCTATTGTAATGGACAATTATCTGTATATTATGTATATATAACATAAATATATATTGTAGTTTTCCTAGTCTATTTCAAATGTTTCCATTGATAATTTTTTTTACTCAGTGCCTATATTATGTGTTTGTATGTTTTAGTTRTTGGCAATAACGTTAACTGGGGTGTAAATGGAATTGAAGGGGACACAGATTTGAACGATTTACAAGACACTGTGAAAAAGAAGTTCGATTCGCTTGCCCCGGGTTTGCCTAATATCGATCAGCTCAATGAGTCTATACCAGCCTTAGACGAAGGCGAAAAAGTGTTGAAAGAAAAATGTTTAAAAAACAGCCAATCCAACAACTCTTATGAACTGACTGTGGTAAGTCATTTAATTTTGATATTTTTATTTTTAGTTTAATTTATTTATCTTTAATTAGAAATATAAATAGGTTAAGATCTAATTATAAATATACTGTTACCCATACAAAAATTTAGTTTTAGATCCGCGCTTGAATGTAATATGTTAAAAAATTAGACTCATTGCTATTTTTTAAGTCATATGGTATATAAATAACTAGAGTATTAACTATTACTGAAAATATACATCATTTGTTGTAATACTATTGAAAATATAGTTTCCTAAGTAGGTAGATAACTAACCTAAATAGTTATTTTATTCATTTTGTGAAGATTATGTACTATAAACTAGATTATCTCACCTAAACTAAAATTTAATTTAAAATTTGATAACCCCTGTAATCTCTAAACTCGTATTAATTATATGTTCTTGATAATATTTTCTTTGTTTCTTAGTAATATAACTAATATAAGTAATTTTTAAAAATTGTTTAAATTAAATTAATTCTTATTTTGTTTAAAATATATTTAAGTTTAATGTGTTTAAGGACCACTCTGTATAATGCAATAACCTTATAACCTATTGCATTTAATATATGTACCTATGTAAATTTAAAAAAAAACTAACTTAACAGATACGAATATGCACAAATTACTAACATCTGAAGTGTCTACTTACTAAAATGTAAAAAATAGTTGGATTCATTAAATTACTAAATGTTGGTAGGTACCCAACTAATTTTTTAACCTATCTATCTATTATTTTTATCAGTTATTAATATTTTATTTAGTTGATTGTTAATATTTAATGTTTTTAAAATTAATAAGAGGGAAAGTAGGTTACTGCTCTTCTGTAAAATAGGTGCTGAGTGTACTTAGTTCATTTTTGTTGAGTAAGTCACTGTAATGTGTTATTTAAATTTGAATTCAATGATATATAGTTTCATATGAAATAATGAAGTAATTAATTTTGATATTACTGATACAGCAGGTTGAATTAGTTTCTGGCAGTGGCGGCGTGATCATTTTTTATTTATGAGACCAAAAATAATTTTAGGGACCACCCTCCTCCAAATTTGTTAGATAAAATTCTTAATATTATAAAAATTTACTAATAAAAATGTACATATTATGTATTAAWTATTGTGTAACGGCATCGTTCACCCATCCACCCAATCCACCCAAAAACAGCAATGATACCCAGGTTTCATAGAACCTCTTGTCACGCCACCACTAGTTTCTGGCAAAAACATTGCATTTTAATATGTCATTATGTGTATAAAATATAATGATATACATATAAGTTTCATACCCCATCAAATAATATTGTGTCCATAAACCTACTGATCATTAATATTTTTAACTACCTATCTATAATAACAACTTGCGAGGAACCTTTTATTAAGTTAAACTTCTTGGTTGAGAAAAACAATTTTTATTTAGGTACCTATATTTATTATATTTATAAAAAAAACCTTCAAATTTTTTTTGCATGATAATAATAGTTGGAATTGGCTGAAGAAAAGTCATCACCTGTTTTACGTTTTTGTATGATATCTAATTTCATGCAATTGTATCAAATATGTCTATTAATAATTATTATGTAGCTATTAATATAAACAACAAACATAATATAATATACTAGTATAGTATAATCTTGGACTATAAAGTGTATTGTATATGTCAAAATACCTAATATAAAATTGTATTCTGTTAATTCATGCAGAATATTTTGGAATTTTTACCTTATATAGAAAATAATAATTTTTTCACTAATTCATTGAATTTGTTGGATTAATTAATATAATTCTGATTATTAATTTGCAGAAAATTCAGTATCTACAATTATAATTTTATTTTAAAGTCAAACCAAAACATCAAAATTGATTTTGCCAAAAATTAATTTTTGGTATAAATTCCTACGTTTACCTAAATTCTTTTTACTTTTTTTCAAAGTACCTACTGAGAAATTTTTACTATTTATCCACTAATAGGCTTAATGCATATCAGTACCTAACAAGTGATACCATAATATTGATTACCGTTATATATTTATATCTATGTAGATTTAGATATAATAAAATAATATGTATATATAATTTCAAATTTGTATTGTGAATTTTTGTTTCTAATAATTTCTAATATTTTAAATTTGTCTTTTTATTATTGATCATCTATTAAAATGTTTCTGTATGTATCCAATTCAGTTAAATTATTTTTTCATAATAACATTAGTAAATTGTTTTTATATAGGTAGGTACAATGTTTTTTATGGTAATAATAATTTACTAGTATGAAATGGTGGGTTAATGGAATCTACATTGTCTATTATTTATAATAAGTTAGTAAATTCTCAATGAATCTTATGTCAAGCTAATGCAAACAAAAAAAGAGTGTATTCTAATAAGTTATTTGTACCTATGTAAGTAATGGTCAGTATTTACAATTCAAAATGTATCTCTGTCTGACACATTTAGAGTATAGTATGGTCTGAACTTCATAGATTGTAACGTACATGCTATTCTAAAAGAGTAACTAAAAATAAAATATTCTGCCATATAAATTATTTGGATTTCTGAAAAAGTTATTTTTATAAATATTAAAAAAAAACTATTTTATATAACTGTTTTAGTTTTGTCTCTTATGAATTTTATATACTTGCCTAGTGCTTCTGAAACCAAAGTTAAAAGTTTAACCTCCTAAATATATATCAGGTAGGTATAGGTATGATATCTTATTTTTTGTAATATTATGTGAAGTGTTATTAAATATTCTATCCTATCTAAGTAATATTTTACATTTAATATTCCTTTAATAGTTCAACCACATCCAGGTACCTACTCTTACGGTAGATAGATTGAAATTATTTATTGTAATATACTAATATTAACTATATTGTATATTATTGTACTAACCTAACTTATATGTTAATATCAACATAAGTAGAGTAGAATAGTGTAAATAGGTTTGTGATGTAATTTGTTTAAATTAATAAATAGTCTGAAATTCTAAAAAAATTTACTGTGTATAGAAAATAAGAATTTGAAAAAAAAGTACTTTGGATCAATGATTTTTAAATTACCATAAAGTAACTAAAATCATTCAATTTTTTACTTTATTTTAAGACCAATATATTCATTGTAATGCTCAGAATCTATAATAACAATATTATTATATTATACCTGGATGTAGAAATAAATAATACGAGTACAGTACATTCTTTAATAACCTTGATGATTTTCAATAATTTTTACTCAAATTATTGTGGCCTTCATTCTAATAACATTAAAAGTAAATACACAAATAATGTCTACACTCATAGATAACTCTTAGCATAAGTGATAACTGATCATGCTATTTATAAAATTACCATTACTATTTGAATAGATCTTAAGACACAATAGTTAGTGGTTTACAAATATTTGTGTATTATTTGAAGTTGCTTTTGGGCAATTTCCATTTATTAATGAAAATGTAAAGTGAATATATTTGGATCTGTTAACTTTAAAGCACTATTTTTTGCTAATTGGCTACCAATTGACTTGGGTTACAGTACCTGTAAGTTAATAAGAACGGATAATAAAATATTTTATTGCTGCAACAGAAAAATAAGCATTTTTCGAAATGCATTATCTATGCATTTTAATTATTTATATAACTAGTAAATATAATATTCTACTACTCTAATTGACATATAAAATATATTTTATATGTATTAATACTACTTAATATATTATTATTTATTTAATCTAGTTACTAAGTTCCAAAGTACTTTGTACATCGCTTCATTGGCCTGTTAATAACATTTTTTCTGATTGCACAAATATTGTACTCATATTTAAATGAGGTTGATCAATTATATTTATATATATCCTTAACATTTCTATGTTAGTATGTGTTAGTATGTTTATATAATTTATAAAATGTGTGTCATATCTGTATAAAATAATAGAATATAGGTACAATTTATAATAATAAAAACAAAATATATTATTTTTAAATTTAGCATTTATTATCTTAGTACTACTAAAATTATCTGTATTTGGTAAATACAAATAATTAAATGATAAACGCATGAAAGTTAATATATAATTTAAAGTTAAATTAGCAAAATGTATTTTGTGTTAAGTCTGATCATAGACCTTCAATTTTTCCAGTTAAACTGGATTAGTAAATTAAACACATTTATGCCATCATCAATGCTATATTATTATATTCGACGAGTATTTAATGATTTATATAATATATTTGTTTTCAATTTATAAATATATGTAATATATTGTATTGCATGATAATTTTCCAAACWCTAAAATTACATTGAATATGTAAGTGTCAACATTATGGTTAGTAAAATACAAATATAGCATTGATAAATATTTTTAAATATTTGGTTAGGTTAGGTTGTTTAATGTAGGTATAACTTGAAAAATTATTTTTCTCTGCAAAATATTAAAAACAAAAAATGTTATTGAAATTCCCACGAGAACCTATATGATAAAAATTATGGTTAACTCATAAAATTCAGGAAACCATTATCATTGTTATAACAATAAATGAACCATAATACATAACTATACAATAATTAAGTAGCTAATATAAATTAGAATTTTTCTATTAATTTTTGTTATGTTCACACTCTTAGACAAGTTTTTTTCAAGATGGTTAAAGTAGCTCTAAATCATTTTAAATTAAATTATATTATAATTAGAACTATATTTAACTTATTTGTAGTACAAATTACAAAGTATAACATTTAATAAATTCAATTATTAGACTGTTAATATAAATTTAACAAATATCCTGATTTCATTTAAAATATTCTAGTGCTATTCATTATTTTTAATTTCATTTTATTACACCTATTTTTGTATATAATTATCTATGTGATGTTATGAATTTATTAAAGTATGGAACATTTGGAGTTTTAAACTCAATTTTTTTCATAAAAATGTTGTTGTAGACCTCACAGTTTTCCCATTCAATTGATCATTAATGCCCATTTTTTTTTTTTACAAAGAAAAAGAAAATTGTAATGTTTTCATGTGGAAACCAAAAATATTATCTACAATAAAATTATTGATTGACTGTTAATTTTTTAAATGATTTATTTTACCGTCTATCACAATAAACTTTACGGAATCAAAATCAAATTTATTATACATATGAGGTATGTAAATCTTGATTAATAACTTTTTTTTTAATAGGTAGGTAGTTAGGTATATATTATATTTAATATTTCAAAATATTTAAATACCTATTTCTCATTAAGGTTATCAATAAGCACATTAAGTACATAGGTAGGCATCATAGTAGGTATAACAAAACCTGTTTGTTTTACTAAAATTCCAACTTCGAACTTTAAAATTATAAATCTAGTAAGAATTGTATACCTATTAATATAACATAAGATTGACATAAGATAATAAGACGATTTATTTAAAATTTTGTATTTGTTTATAAATAGGATTAAATATGTATTCTCAAAACCATTAAATTGTAATTTTTATGTAGGCAATAAATTATTTTATGATTTATCTAGTCTTATTATTAGTATCATGGTTGTTATTGTTGTATTGGCTTTGTTATTTATATTATATAAAAAATATACAAGGCAATTCATATTAGCATATAATTACACTAATATGATGAACAACAAATTTAATTTATTTTTTTGGTTAACAAAATATTTAGTTTTTCTAAAATACTTTTCGTAGAATACCTAATAAAATAAATTAATAACTATAGTAAAAATAATTCTATAAATAGTCACTTATTCAAATAATTATAAATAATATTTATTCATTATTCATCATTTAAATATTTTTTTTCTTTAGGAGGCGAAGAAAGAATTTGAAGTTTGCGTAAAATCCCTTGTTGACGTTACAGAATTAAAAAATGAAATTAATGAAGCTAAACCTAAAGGAGATCTTGATATGGTATTTAAAAAATACTGCAAGTGAGTAAAATATATAATATATAATAATAGATGAACGATGAACTAGTCCAAATGAGTGGTCTACCAATAAGCTCATAGTCTAATTTGTATGCTGGAAAATAATATATACCAAATATCTTTTTATATATTGTGTTATTTAAAGCATATATTTTTCTTAAAATATTGCTTATTAGGTTTATACTACAAAAGTGTTTTTATTTTAAATCTGATGGAACAAAATCATCAAATATTTGATTGTTTTATTGAGTGATATGATCATCACCATGTTTTTTTAGATGGAGCTCTAAAAGTGGAGAGAGCCGAGAGGCATAAAATTTTAAGTCTTATTTGGATGTTCAGTATGATTTACAGTTTAGTGAATATATTTTTATGATTTTTTAGAATTGTATAATTCGCCACTGATCACTGTGRTTTATTTTACCAATTACTACCATATTTTTGTAATTGATAGAAACGTYTGTCAATCTCTTTTATCTACAATAAAAATTAAAAACTGACGTATAGTTTTGCTATTATGATTATAATATAATTCAAATACTAACAGGCCTTGCGCTTGATTTCCATAACCACATTAATTATTTTTTACTTAGGCAATGTTTTATATTCAATTTATATTGTGGCTTTAATTGTGTTTGTTTGTATACCATCCATACAAAATAAATAAATAAAACAGGCTGGATTTTCATAATTTGAAGTATCTTGTATGACACAAGTAAACACTAAAAATTTCTAAAAATCATAATATGAATGATATTTTAAGAGTAGAATAGTCAAAACACTCCTGCAAAATCTTGTCACATCRATATTCAATATCATTAAAATATTACTGTATATTTTTTTAATATCAGTTACCAGTAAACCACACATTGGACTGGTTCTTAGATTTGAAATTGAATACAAATTTATAAATTGAATTTTTTTTAGAAAGTCACCCGATTTTAAGGATTGTGTTTTAAACTTCACATCTACCATAGATGTGTGCTTGGATGAAGGTGAAAAAGATAGCAAGAAAATTCTTCAAAGTGTCACAGAAGCTTTATTATCATTTGTATGCCATGATGAGGGTGATCGTATTGCATGTAAGATGTTTTTGAAAACTTTATTTATGAATTACATAATTTATATAATATTTTGTTATTGAATTATGATTATATTTATTTAAACAATAATATTTTATGTACTTCTATTTATTTAGTATTCTATTCAGAGGGTGGTCCAGATTGTTTAATGGATAAAAAGGAAGCTATACAACACTGTCTAAACACATCATTCAGTAAGTACATGCCTAATGGTGAACCAAGCTTGTCTAGCTTGCCAGCATTCAAATTTGAAGAAGATCAATGCAAGTATGTATCTTAATTAATATATTTTGAAAACATTGTACTTAATGATGAATTGTAACATTTAATTTTWTTTTCAAAGGAGTATGTCTGAGCTACAAGTGTGTGTAATTTCTGAGCTAGAAAAATGTGGAGAACCAACACCCGCTAACATTATCGAGTCATTGTTCGAGTTTGTACGTCGATCAACACCATGCTCTAAATTTCAGAGTGCTCAAACACGTAAAAAATCTGCAGGTGTTTCATTACACGCTACAATATCTATTACAGCGTTATGTAGTTTAACAATTCCGTTAGGTCGATTTGGATTTTACTAGTATATTGGCAGTACTTAAAGAATAATTTATACAACTTTAAATAAGGCTTATAATCAAAATCCTTAATATATATTAAGATCTATGTTGAACTAAACTAAATTTATATATTATATATAAATATTAGACAGTAATATTATTATTAAAGAATACTTGCCCCTTTTTTTATTTGTATTGCAAATATTAACTTGAACAAAACAATTTGAACAGTATAACATTTTTGTTTAACCAATTTGTTTTTTTTAAACTATAATCATAATTTTATAGTATTCAAATTGTAGTTATATACTATTTTATGATTTTTAACTGCGAAGCAATATTTTCTAAATATTAAAATAATATCAGAAAATATATGTAATTTATTATACCAACATAAAATAATATATATTTTTTAATGAAAACAATGTTAAAATTATTTTGTAGTGACAATATTTAGCTTTTAAAATCATGAATTAGTTATTTTTAATTATTTAGGTGGTTGCAATGACCTACTATTTTTATCTCAGAGTTTTATGTTATTAATTATGGTTATTAAGTTTTGGTGTTTAGGATTGAATAAATTATTTTGTATACACTAATGCAAGTGTGTGTAATAAGAATTTTTTTAATTGTAATTTATGTTTTTTGTGTTTATCTATTTATTATATTATATATATATATAATCCCAAAATAAAAAAAACCTTATGTTTAGTATTATATAATATACCTACTAATTTATTACCTATTTAAGAACATACACAAAATATTCCTATTAAATACATTATGAGTTAAATTAAGATATGTGATACAAATGATACAATCAATATTATTGTTAAGGAGTTATATTAAAAATGATCAATTATAACTCAAATATATTATATTGTTATAACAATACGTCTCAAAGTCTTAATAGTACATCTTACCTGTATGTGTCTCCATTATATGAATGCATAACATGGGAAATTATATATTTAGAATAGTCTATTAATTTTATTTTGAGCATATTAAAATTATTGTCATTTTTTTTTTAGTTTTTAAGTGCTTATAACTTTTTCCTAAATTGAAATAACAGGAAAACCTTAATTGTATCTGGTACTCTTGATAATATTCTTGAATTAAAAATATAATCATTTATTCCAGGCGAGTAGTTGAATATTTTGAACTTTTGACTTCTAGTGGGTAACAGGTTAGCAAATACCTATGTTAATCAATAATATCTTTTGCCCTGATTGACCATTCTTCTTTAAAATCTATAAGTATTTGTTTTACTTGAAGCAATATATAAACATAAAAAAAGATGACAATTCTTCTTCGATTGATCTCTATTTTATCAAGTAATTAGTACAAAAAA